GTGTGTGTGTGTGTGTGTGTGTGTGTGTGTTTGTCCACAACAAGAAGGCTGCTGTCTACAAGCCAGGAAGCAGGTTCTCACTAGGAAGCAAATCTTCCAGTGCCTTGGACTTCCAGTCTCTAGAACTGTGAAAAAATAGTTTTCTGTTGTTTAAGCCATCCATTTGGTGCTATTTAGCTCTGGAAGGCTATGCAGGCTATAATAGAGGATATTAGTTGATAAGCAGTGGGCTCAGGATATGCTTCAGGATTAAGAGCTAGTCCTTAAAATACCTCCTAAGTCTGGCGAGCAGCAGGGATTTGCTCTACAAGGTGATTGTGCAGGTTTGGGGGTGGAACTGAACGTCCCAGGCCCAGGTGCTGCTCTCTGTGGAAATGCCTTTCTGCCCTTTCCCAGGGAGTACCCAGTCTTAGTCTGAGTATACTCATCTCTTCAAGAATATCTGCTTGAAAAGGGAGCAAATACTTAGCCACCTAAGTCACCCACAGGCCTGTTTGGTCCCGCCTTGGTGAACTGTAATCCTTACCTCAAGGTCATAACCAATGCCGTGTGCCTTACACATCTGGAGGAAAACATAGTGGAAAACCAGTGAGAGGTTGTTATGCCTCAGCTGGGTGGTCATCACTGCGTAGCGACAGGTTTCCTGTGACTGAAAAGGCCACAACTGAATGTTAGATTCTTCAAAAAATATTTAAATAACCTTTTCAACTTCAGAATAATTGCAGATTAACAGAAAAGTTGCAGAGATAATACAAATTCCTCTATCTCCGTGCACCTAGTTGCCCTATTATTAACATCTTACATTGCCATGGAGCATGTATCATACATAACTAATTAACCAAACTACCACATTACTATTAAGCTCAGACTTTATTGGGATTTTAGTGGTTTTTCACTAATTTCATTTTTGTGTTTTAGTATCCCATTTAAAATACCATATTATATTTAGTCATTTCCTTAGGCTCTTCTGGGCTGTGACAGTTTCTCAGACTTCTGTGTTTTTGATAAACTTGAAAGTCTTGAGGAGTACTGGCTGAGTATTTTGTAAAATGCCCCTTGATTTGGATTGGTCTTATGTTTTTCTCATGATTTGACTGGAGAAATGTGTTTTTGAGAGCAAGCACACACAGGTAAACTGGTTTTCATCACTTCATAGCAAGGGGCCATGCTACTGTAGTTTGGACATTGGGTGCCCCTAAATGTCCAAGTGTTTAGGGCTTGGTCCCCAGGGTTGGCTGTTGGGAAGTGGTGGAGCCTTTAGCAGGTGGGGCCTCATGGGAGGTCCTCGGGTCATTAGGGACATGCCGGCAAAAGTGAGTGGGGCCTTGATCTCTCCCTGTTCTTCTTCAGCTTTGCTTGCTGGCTCATGATGTAAGTAGTTTTGGCCACTATGCGCTCCCCATCATCACCATCTAGCACCCCCACGAGAGACCCAAAGCAGTGAGGCCACTCAGTCACAGTCTGGAACCTCCAAAACTGTCAACTAAATAAACTGTTTTTTTTTCTTCTAAGTTAATTATCTGAGGTATTTTGTTATAGAAACAGAGAGCTAGTAGACATACTGCTGTACTAATACACCTGATTTGATGGTGTTAAATTTTATTACCTGGTTAGGATAGCTTCAGCAAAAATGTCACAAGTTTCTCTGCTGTAAAGATACTTTTTCCCTTTTCCCATACTTTTTGGAAGCAAATCACAACACCTATCCTATGTCCTTGATGTGGCCAGTATTACAATTTTTTTTTTTTTAAAGCTGTCTCATTTATTATTTAGGCTATTTAGGTAGTATACTTACATTGAAAATGGAAGCGAATTTTTCAACTGCTTTTAAAAAAAGTAAATAGTAATTAATGAATTTACTGTTACACTCAAAATCGTCTACGTTTAAGGCGAGAATCTTTGCCAATAGAAAGGCGCTGCTCCAAATTCTGAATGGTATTACCAAGAGCTGCAATCTCTTTGTTTTTTTCTTCTTGAAGATGTTGAAGCTTCCTTCTGTAGATACTCTGTGGGGAAATAGTAGCATCTGGATATGGTTTTGACTTAGTCTGAACTCTTGCTAGTTTGGCATCAAACTCCAGCTGTAGTTTGATTGTTTCATTTTGCTTTTCTTTTTCTTGAGTTATTAACTTTGCATTTAACTCTGAGATTTCCATCTCCTTTTTCTTTATTAGATCTTTGTGCTTTTCTTCCTTTAATTCAACTTTTTTCTGCATATCTTGATAAAGTTTGCTTATTTCTATCTTATGTTCTTCCTCTTTGATTTTCATTTCATGTACAAGTTTGGCAATATTATTCTTATAGTCCTCTCAAATTGTGTTGATATTCAATGGTCTGTTGTAGCCCTTTTATCATATCATGAAGAGCAGCACATTCTTTTCTATCTGTGAAAAATCCTTTATAAGTTTGTTAGTATTCATACTGCTAATCTTTTTTGTACATCCTTCATTACTTTGATCCATGCTTGAATTGTTGTTGTTCCTGGTTCTTCAAAGTCTCCCCCACCTCAATCTAGTATTATAATTTTGATACTGTTTTCTTTGGGAAATTGCTATTCTTTAACTGCTGTTAGTGTGGTCTATCCCAAAGAGACTGGTTCCAGAAGGCTCAAAGAATTTTACTTCTGTGTTTCTTAAGAACATTTAATATTTTATGTGTGCAGAATAAAGTATTGGATCCTGGCAGTTTTATAGCATGCCATTTGTGAGATATGATATTTGCCTTTGACAGTCAGCTGTTTCCCCTGCAATAACTGGAAATTTGAAGAACTGCATACAGGGCCATTACCAACCTTAGGACATAGAAGACGAAGGTTCCTGGCCCAGGTTTTGGGGCCTCTCAGATGCTGGGCAACCAGGTGCCTGGAGTTGCATAGTCACTTGGAACAGAAGGCAGAGGAGGTGCTGTTGGTCCAAAGCTGGTTCTGGGGGATCATAGTGACCTGACACTTACTGGTAGTCATACTTCAGGCTGTATCTGTCTTTGAAATAATGCACAGAACCAGGGCTGACTGATGTATCTGCCCCCGTGTATCCACACAAACATCATGGTCGCATTTGGTGGCATGCCTCCCCTACATGCTCTGTCTTTTCTTCCAACATTTATATCAAGCATGTATCTGAGGGTCCCATTATCAGTAGAATCATTAAGGCTGCTCTTCCCACACATAAACAGAATCTATGCCTATAGAAATGCTAGGCTCCTGTCAGCTAACACATCTTGAGTCAATGCTCTTATCAGTATTGTCCCATCTGTAGCTATTGGTTTTTATTTTTATTTTTAATTGATACACAAAAACATAAAAGTTATACTTAGTAGCAGGCATCATATAATGTTTGATACATGCATACATCTCATGATGTTTAAATCAGGTTAAACATATCTCCTCAAACATTTACCATTTTTTCATGGTGAAAACTTTCAAAATCCTCTCTTCTAGTTTTCTGAAATGTACAGTACATGACTGTTACATCTAGTCACCATACTATGTAATAGTACCCCATGCCCTCTCTCTAAATATAACTTAATACCCATCAATTAACCTTTGTCTATCTACCTCCACTCCTGTTTTAACAAAAGAAAATCTAATTGACCCCCCCCATGTCTAATAGCTGTACATTGTTATCACCCAGATAACAGTGAGCTGTTCCCCTGGCTGTTGCCTTGGGTAACTGGGAACATTCTGGAGGCAGGCACTACATGCTTTCTGAATCTCTGGGTTGAGCTCAGTGGTAACAGAGAGAAGGCCTTCAGTGTTTATTGAATGAGAGAAAGAATGAATAAATGAAATAGGTAGGTGGAAATCATTTTCCCTGATTTAACAGACTCTTCAAAACATGTAACTCAAGGATCTGCCAGTCAGTATGTGTGCTCTGAAATTGAAGCAAGTGATTTACAGAAGCATAGAGACAGTCACACCATCCCCAAAGATGACAACTCAAGACAATCTCTCCAGTTGACCCTGGAGGACAGGGTAGCCCTGGTGAGCTGAGTAGGAATTACTGAGGAGGTGACAAAAACCAGCAAAGAGAGACTCACTCAGCTGGCTAGGCAGTCTGAAGCATCATGGTCACCAGCTCTGTATGCCCTGTCGTGCCAGGCTGTGCCATGCTTCTGGCTTTTCAATGAAGACGCAGAAGTCTTAGTGTTTGTACGTGGAAGAGATCTGTAAATACTCTGGAATTCCATTGTGGTTACTGAGCACATAATTGTGTGGCAATTGCCATGAATTCACGAGATAAACCCAAGGTTATTTTTGTCTTCCAACTTGTCTTATGCTGCCACAGTATATAAACAAACAAAACCAGTATCAGGCCCCACTTAGTAAGAGACACAAGAAGGTACCTGCTAGCAGGGTCCTGCTCAATGCTGTCTATCTGGGCCTCAAAGCACAGCAAATGTTCACTGTCCACTAGTAAGTGACAACTGGACAAGTAAGGACAGACTGCCTTGAGATCTCTTCCTGTCTATGAATGCAGACCTGAGCTTGTAATTCATAAAGAATCTGAAAGACAAGTCAGGATATTTGACATATGTCTGACTTGTTGCTTCTTTTCCATTACCATCACCATAGTAGTCCATCCTAGCCTGCAGGTGCTGAGAATGTGAGCCGAAGTCTATAGTAAAAAGGTTACATGGAATCCCAAAGGCTGAGGTTCAAAATGCGGCAAGGCCACTTACTATCTATGTGATCTTGAGCATATCATTTGACTACTCTGACTTCTGTTGACTAAATAAGCACGCTGTCTCTGGAACCTAATAGATGGTAGCTACTATTTTTTTTGTGCTTGGTTCTTTGAAAGGATTTGGACCCACAATAAAGGTAATTTCTCAGGTTGTTCTTCCTCTGTTGGTACTCTCATCTTGTGGGATTCTGAGCATTACCACCAGATGGAATGTTTCTCTCAAACCCAGGATGGTCAATGTAGTTTTCTTTCTCAGAAATCTTCAGTGTCTCTTTCTTGCGTTCAAGATGAAATCTGGAGCCCGTCTTGGTGGGTGGATCCTCCAAAACTCGCTCAGAGCCTGGTTCCACCCTCTTCTTTTTCTTGCCTCCCCTGACTTGCTGCTCTTGGTTTGCTGCTGCCTCCTAGCAGACCACAGGCTCTCTGTAGAATTTGTCCCATTTGCTGGGAGAGGTAGTCCCCTCCTGGACACCTAATGACTGCTCTATTCTTTAAGGCAGCAGGCTGGGGTCTGACACTTAAGTGGCAACTACAGGAGGCCATTGTGGTTTTTCCTTGTGTATCTGTTTTAATATCAGCATCTTTTCTGTGTCTCCTCAACTCTGATGCTTGGCGAAATTCCTGGCATATATTAAGTGCTTAATAAATATGTTACTACACTGCTAATAAAGATGAACAAATAAAATACACCTACTTTTTAAAAAAACAGCCAACTCCACAGTTTTTAGGGAAAAAACCCTGTTGAATATCTCAGGTTATCTTTGATCCAGCTTGATAGATAGCATAGGTGACAGAAGTATTGGTGTGAGGACTGGATAAGTATGTAGAGTCCTTAGAACAGAGCCTGCCGCATAATAACCACTCAGTAAGTGTTAGCAATGATCACTCACTAAACTCAGTAATTTTGCAAATCAGGTCAGCTATTTAAAACAAAAGCTGGCCAACCAATCAATTCATCAAAAAG